CCAGCAGGTACAGCTGCCACAGGTGCCTGCAGATTTCCCTGGAGTATCTGGAAGAGGTTACTTAACATGGCACCAGCATCCCCAGTTGTTACCACTTCTCACATGATGATGATAATGATGATGATGATGATGATGACAATGACGACGATGATGATGATGATGATGATGATGATGATGATGATGATGATAATAATAATAATAATAATAATAATAATAATAATAATAGTAATTGATGGATCCCTGCCACCAAGACATGGAAGCAGACACACTGTGACAAGCAGGGGAACCCCATAGCGGCACCGGAGCCGCCTGGGCCCGTGCTGGGGCTGCTCCCGGGGCTGTCCAGGGAAGTCACCATTGTAAGATCCATATCTCTCGGGCTGTTCAGGTCCAACCCAGCTACCTGTGGACCCCAGCCCACACGATCTTACATGGATGAAAGCAAAAGACCAGAAGGGCTCTTCTCCACGTGGGGAACGAATGTGCTCCATTTATTGACTCAAAAACCACCACAGGGAAAAACCCACATGGAAATAGGCCAGGTAGCTTCCTCTAGGAGGATTTTATACCTGGGGAAGGGGGGCGGAGGAAGAGGACCACAAGCAAAGGGATATAAGTGAGGAGAGACTACCAGGGAGTACTGGGGAGAGGGTGAGTGAGGGAAAAGCCATGTGATAAAAGAGGGGAAGAACAAGCCATGTGATATAACATAAACTGTTCAGTGCAATATAAAGACTAGTCAGTGCAAATCCCCAATCACCCAGTGCAGAACAACTAAATAAGCTATTTAGTGCACTATAACACACCAGTCCCACACCAGCTCCCCGGCAGCTCACGGCCGAAGGTGCGGGTGCTGCGGGGCTGGGGCTCACGGGGCGGGTGGCGCGTTCCGTGTGGTGTGTCCGATGGCTGTGTGTCCGATGGCTGTGTGTCCGTACAGCCGTGTGTCTCCTATCAGCTGTGGCTGATTTGGCACATAGCCAAGCTTTGCCCAGCCCGGCCTGAAGCAGCAATGGCGCTTTTCCAGTGCCAGCCCCGCGTTCCCTGCACTGCCCGGCTGCAGAGCGAGCATCTCCCTCCAGGGCCATGCTGAGCGGGGCTGTCCCACACGGCTGCTCTGCTCCCACGGGGAGTTTTATTCCCTGGAGCGCTGTGCTGCAGGGATGCACCGCCTGGGGTCAGCGCCAGCCGAGGCGATGTCGGGAACACAGGCTCTCTGAAAGAGCCACAAAGGGGACGGCTCCGCTGTACCCGAGTGGACCCAAAGGAGCTGGCACCGAGTCTGTTCAGACGCCGTTCTAGACTTTCTCATCTCCCGCTGATGCCCTAGTGCCGGCTCGGGGAAGGGGCACCGCGCTGTGGAAGGGGGTAGGCACAGGGAATGGGATGCCGGCTGGACCTGGGCACATGGAAGCACAGGGGCAGTGTAAATGCACGGAACAGCCTTTTCCTGGCCAAGCTGGAGTCAAGGGAATGAACTTCAAGGAACCTTCCAGAACTGTGAAGGTCAGCCCCAGAGACGCTTAGCCGAGCACAATGAGCCAACAGCTTTTTGATGAAGAGTTGAAGCTGCAAACGCTAAACCACTGCCGGCTGGAAATGACTTTTTAAAGACATTTTGAAATGTGGACTACTTCACATCAAAAACCTCTGCTTAACTCCATAAAAAGCAAAAGTGGTGGCCAGTGGATTAGAAAGTAAATCTCAGGGTTACTTTTAATGCCATCGTTTATACTTTTAATGCCTGTTTGCTTATGGATGGACTGTGCCTCTTGTCACTGTCCTGGCAGCACAACAGGGAGAGAAAGCGCCGAGGCACTGCAGCCCAGAGCAGGACATGGGGCTGCACAGCCACCCTGCGAGGCCACAGCCCCAGCCACCATGCAGGAAATTCCCACTCTCCCATCTTTTCAGGTCACTTGAGGAGAAATCATCTCAAGCAGCTGCACTCTTCCTAATGTTTTGTACTACTTGGTAACTCACTGACTCAGCTTGAGCATCTCTTCTCCTCCTTTTAAGATTTATTTCTCCTTTTTTCTCCCAAGAAATAAGGATTTTTTTTTTGTATGCCCTATCTTTGCATACCATATTGTCCATTGCAAGGGCAAAATAAAGGCTGTAGGAAATCTCCTCCACACTCTAGCCTGGACCTGTGAGAAGGGCAAGCACTGCATCTTCCCTGCAGCTTTTCTGGACATGGCCTTTTCAACTTGCCCCCAACTGGGATGTGAATTAGGTTTGAACACAGCTGTCTTAAATCCTCTGGAGCCCCACAGCCAAAAACAAAATGAACTTTCAAGATTTAGTTTTTGTCTGAGAAGTCACAAACTGCCTACAGAACTTGCCTTTTTCACTCTCACAACAGCCTGCAGTCCAGATAATGGGAATTCCTGAGAGATGAAGAGGTGGTGGTGTGGGAATGATGCAAGGCACACCTTTCTTCCCCCTTCAGACACCACACAAACATGCCACAAAATGTCACAGACTCTGCTGGCTTGGGCCTGACTGCTGTTTAGGGCAGTAGAGGGAAGGGACAGTGTAGAGCCACAGACAAGTTCTTCCACACTCCTGAAAAGGCGGAGGGATGGTTTTGTCCTGACTTTCTCACAAACACAACCCAAGCCAAAGGACCTTTTTACCCACCAGCAACAGACGACACTGCAACCCACCACTCCCTCAAAGCTTGTGAAGTAAAGATCTGTGCCAGCCCCAGACCTTGAGTATGCTTCTAAAGTTTAGTCTACAACACAAAGGCAACTGTCAGTTTTGATTTGCTCCTCATTTTTTAGGGGGGAGAGACAGAAGAAACCCACTGACCCCATCTTTTAATAAAGAAAGGAAATGGTTTTAGAAAGCGAATTACCTGTAATCTTTATTTGAACAGTGAAATAAACATGTATTCAACTAATTTTGATGCTATAATTGTGTGTCACTACACAAAATTTCATACTTACACTTTAAAGTGCACTATTAATGGGTAAGTTCCATTTTCCCCCCAGAAATACATTCAATAGCTTAGAGAAGAAGGAAAGAAAAATCCACAAAACAAGAGGTGTCAGAAAGAGGTTAAAAATAAGATTTATTTGCAAATAATTTTGACAATAAACTAGTATCTCTGAGCTGTGCATTTTGGGGACTACAAGTCAGTTCCTTTGTGTTCTGAGATTTCCATTTGCATGCAGTATGGGATACCTCCAGAATTCAAAATGAACTTCTAAGTGTCCTTTTTTTTGCCTTGCTGTGATGAGTGATTCATTCCACAGGCACACTGTAGGAGAGTCAAAGTCTTTGTAACGAGAAGCTGTCACAGGAAACACACAATGAAACCACCTTGGCTTAGAAAGAAAATTCACTTGGGAGCTGTTCCACATTTGTTTAACACAGTGTTAAGCACTTCAAGATCCCCACAAGAAGTACCTGGTGCTGTATTAAAAAAACCCCAAATAATCCAATGGAAAAAAACCCCAAAAACCTTAAAACCAAACCAAAACCACAAGACGAGCCCAAAACTCAATCAACATCTACCCCTAAACTTCACAGGTATACTGAAAACTTATATTTCTTTCTGATACACAAATGCACAACACATCTGGTCATGACCCAGCTCCCACTCTTGGAAGCTGATGAGCTGTCTCATGTAAAAAACCCCCAAACCTCAAGATTCAATAGCAATGACTGTATATAAATGAGCTCAGGACAAAGGCAATACAAGGTGAGATTTACCTTAAGGTCTGACTGTGTGAGGGCAACCTCCCAGTCATGGTTAGTGTCACAGCAGCAGAAAAAGAAGACAGCAGCATCTTCAGAACATTTCTTCAACATATGCCCACCCTCCTCCCTAACCTTCCTCTCTCTGTCCTTCATAAAAGCCTGGAAATTTTAATTCTGAAGTCTCAGTTTGAATCAGATTACATCAGAATTGTATTCTGAAACCCCTACACGATTAAGTTTTGAGCAGACCACAATTAGTATACCTTGCATTAGAACAAAGTTGAAAGGTAACAGAAGGAAACAAGGCAACTAAGAGAGGAAGTAAAAGAATCTAACCCACAACTATTTTCAATACAGTTCTAGAAAATATTCCTTCTTATAATGAAGAGGAACTTCTTTCCTCTTTACGAATCTCAAAATAATCCCAATATTTGACACTGAAAAAATATTTTTTCTCTCCTCCATACATATAATAATACAAGAAAAGATGTCCAGATGGCATTGTTACCAGTTCAAACCATTAATGAATGTACTATATCAGCCAAATGTAAACAAACATATATATATATATAAATGCCAAAAAAATCAAAAGTTAATAACTACTGGTGATAACCAGTACACATAAGTATTTATGTATTTATGTGAAGTTGGAGATAATAGCAGTCTTAGAAACATTATTTTATTTGAGCTACTTTAGAAAGACTAAACCAATATTCAGTTGGAAGTTCTTTATCATCAATGCAGACACCTCACCACAGGGGCTTCCCTACACCCTCTGGGGACCCTAGACCATTTTTATGAAACAAATCAACCTGGTCATTTTGCATCAACCATTACTGAAATGATCCTGCGAGCAAGGCCCAGAATCAAGTAATTTCTTCAAGCAGAACACTCTAGCTAATGTCAGACTGCCTCCTGCACAAGCTCAACTTGTGCAGGAGGAATAAAGATTTCAGAACAAATCTGATGTTGACAAACATTGCCCTGTTCAATCCCAACTCAGCTATATTCAGAGAACAATAAGAATTTGTGATGTGTAAATTGTAATTCCACTGGGCATGTTCTCCCATTACACAGCTCCAAGGACTCATTCTTCTAAGCCTGGTCTACCACAGTATTTGTGGTGTAGTCAAATGTAAATATTATTGAGGTTTACTGACATCTTATTTGGGCCAGGGTTAAGCTGCAGGTGCCAACATCCTGCATCAGCCTGTCCTAGTTTCACCTGGGAGAGAGCTGATTTTCATCCCAGTAGCTGGTACAGTGCTGCTTTGGATGTAGAAATGTAGAATCAGAATAATGTTGATAACACACTGGTGTTTTAATGTAAACACAGCTTAGCAACAACTCAGTCAAAGCCTTTTGAGAGTCTCACCTCACCTCGTGTGGGTGCACGAAGCCAGGACTGCTGACCCCAAGTGACCAGTGGGAGGTGCCACAGTCTATGGTGTCATGCTCAAAATATCACCTGGGGCAAAAGCTGGCTGGGGGCACTGCCCAGAAACTGGCTGGGCATCAGTCATCAGGTGGTGGGCAATCGTGTTGTGCCTCACTAGTTTTATGTATTTTATTTGTCATCATTACTGTTGTTTTCCTTTCTGTTTCTGTCCTATTGAACTGTCTTTATCTCCACATATCAATGTTACTGTTTTCCCTCCAAGTCTATCCCCTCCATCCCATTTGGAAAGGGGGTTGGGCAGTGGTGGGGTGCAAGTGAATGGCTGTGTGGCATTTATCTGCCTGCTGGGTTAAACCATAACACAGCTCCTAGAACTCATGGATTCAGCAGTATTTTCACAAGACAACATTTGCCACATCTCATTAAGATTCCAAAGTCTGGAAAATTCCTATCCTGAAAATCTACTATTTGCTCAGGAAGTATCATATTTACCAAGAATTTTAACTAGTTCTGAGCACACCATCTTTCATGGCAACACTTCAAAAAGACCCCATGCAGTCCTACAAACTCATTTCTCTTACACATTCAGGTCTGACACCTAGAAATGCTCAGAGTTTGTTTTAGGAGAAGTCCTGTACAAGTGATCCAGTTTTTAAATGTCATTAAATGTTTTGGCAGAATAATGTTATATGAAATCTGTAATACATTTGCTAATGTTTATAATCCAATGATTACTTATAAGAAGTATTATTGCATTTTAAGCGTAAAAATATAAGAGGTTCTATAAAGAAAATTAAAATAGCATTAATCTAATATTGATAGTCATATAAAATAACTCACAATTATGTAAGTTTCCATATTTAATTACACATTTAAAAATAAGTTATAAAAATAATTAAGCTTCTTTAAAACCCCTAGGATATTTTCTTTTAGGAGTTTTTACTCATATCTACTGATTGTCTAGCATCAGCCACAGCTTCTGGTACTCGAACAGTCATATCATTCATTGATTTCTTCAAGCAGATTTGGCAGCCTAAACGTGATCTGTGGGGAAACAGGACATCATTGTTAGTTTCAGCCCACCAGCAATCTAACAGCATTTACCCCCTTACATCTCCAACACTCAGCCACCCCAAACAGACCATGGACTAGGAACAGCCACTCTTGTGCAGGGCCTTAGTCCAGCACAGAGTGAACCACGTGCATCAGCACAAGGATCTGTGTGGCAATAGCCAGGATTTATGGCCAGAAGAGAGCTCAGCACACTGGAAAGTCCCACAAAGCATGCTGGAAAGTCCCACAGCTGAGTACTTCCTGCTCACTGAGACAATGCAGGAGATGGGTGACCCTTCCCTTTTCAGTGGGTCACTAACAGGTCAGTCCAGTGCAGGGAGTGATGCTTGATCTCCCAAGGGACATCTGGCACCTCTGAAGAGATAAAGGCAATGACTCTGAATGAAAGCCTCAGAAAAAACAAAGCCTAGCCCCTCCATCTAGAATTCAATGTTCTTAAACTAAAAAACTCAAGATTAGATGTAAGCCAGAAAAGCAAGAGTGAAAAGACAAGAAACATAGGAAGGAGAAGAATAAAACACTCAACACACCAGAGGAGATGTCATCCTTCATTTCTATACCTATCATTCAGCACAAGAAAACCAGATGTTGCACATGAGCAATTAAAACCAGATTCAATACTACAACAAAACTCTGCAGACATCACAAGCTGCTTTTATTGCTGGGATAACTTTAATTCAATGTCCATGTCTCAGAATTTAAGTGTAGAATACTAAAGACATCAGCAAGGATGGGCAATGTTCTGGAGTACCACAGACACTAACTAGCTGACAGCCTGTTTCAAGAATATAAAGTTCCCACTCTTTTATCCACCTCTCCATATGCATTTATCTGCATTTGCCTTTTAACTCCAAAGGTCATTTCCTATTGTTCAAGAGCATAAAATCTTCTTGCATGTTTTCACAGGCAGGTGACATTACCACAGCACAGTAAACAACCCTTACTGCTCACTGTGTGTTCTTAAGTCTTCCACAAGGATGCTCACAGTAGTTAAAACCTAGCACCAATCACTTTTACATCATGCTGTTGATCATATACTCTTACCAGGCATAATACTTCTTATTAAAAGACTGGGGGGGGGGGGGGGTGGTTTAACCAATTACTTAGCTTTTACAGGGCCTTTGCTCTTATGCTGTTGCACCTCAAAATTTAGTGAACAATCTCTAGACCTAAGTAAACTACATGAACTGCAGATCTTTCTTCATTTTAATGAGTTATATGAACAATATAAGTAATTTTTCATTTTTTAATTGGTATGAGTAACACTGTATCTATGGACACATTAGTTTGAAAGAAGCTCCCAGAATATACCAGGACACCCCCTACAAAGAAACCTTCCAGTACACAGACAGCCCATAAAACCTCTAGAGATAAAAGCCAAGTTTCTTTTGCATTATGTTATCTTTTCTATTTTATGTGCCCCTTCTACATCACCCATTGGCTCAGCACATAGAGTTTCCTGTTGCTGACAGGTTAGAAACAAAAGTATTTGCCTACTTTTTTCAAGCTGTTTCTCATCTTATTTTTTGCTTTAGTATTTTAACTTGCCAGGGTTTGCACTCCCCTATCTTACTACTTTCTACTGTTCTGCAGTTGATCAAAAGAATTTTATTTTAGCCAATTAATCCTTCATTTTCAAAAACTTGAACTTTCATGGCAGTTGCTGACTGAAACTTTCCCAAACACAGAGTAGCAAAGAATAAGCTGTGATGCTTATACCTGTGACAGAACAGAGAAGTACATCTCCATTACACAAATTTACATCAGCACAGGAGTCCAGGTAATGTGCAGCAAATACCAACCACTTAGAGCTCCACCTTTCAGAGGAGTCATCTTCCTACATAAATGGAAGGTCCCTGGCCATAGGAAGAACATGTGATGCTAGGAAAACCTAACAGAAGTACCAAGCACCATCAGAGAGTGTAAAACTTCATTTCATATGAAGAACTTAGAGGAGAAAATAGAAACATTTAAACAGAGAGCTCTGGTTTGTTACTGTTTTCCAATACCTCAGTAAAATCTCCTTGCTTAACCTTTACTTAAAAGGTAGTCAAAGAAAAAATTTTTTTATTAGATCACATGCCGCCAGAGCTATTCAGGAATTATTTTGGGCCTGAACCTAAAAGTTACTCTTTTTATGGTGGTAGGTGGCAGGCTTAATAGGCTTATGGGTTTTTTTTCAAAACTGAAAATGGGTTTTTGTGAGACAGGAAAAATGATAAAACAAAAGAAGCTACAAGTTTCTCATAGCTTGACTTCTTTGCCCTTCCAACCTCACATAAATGCTCAAATTTGGCTTAAGGGAGAAAGTGTCATGTAGAAATGATGAGTATAGGATTCCTTTTACTGATATAAAGAGACAGACAAGTTAATTCAGAGTACTTCTTTGCAGAGACAAACTCTATGCTATATAGGCCAGGTATAAAGCCTCTGATATCATTAGAAAGATTCTCAAAAACTTCAACAAGCAGTTCTGTTGAAACACAAAGGAATGGGCTTATGAAACCTCAAAAGCCACAGCTGCCTACTGTTTGTGTGAGCAGGTTCTGTGGCAAAGGCACTTGTGCACCAGCAAGTACAATAGCCCACCAGGAATGGGTCTGTGATGAGGATTAACACCCTAACTACAAGATGTGTGATGGTGGGGGTGATGCAGAACAGAGGCTTACTTTGGAGCACCACTAGTCTAATCCTAATGCCTCTGAGCAGTCAGAGCACACTTCAGGATCAGTTTCTCCCAAAAGGGAATGTGGTTTGTGTGCACAAGGAGCACTGTGATAGGAGTCAAGGCATAACAAGTATGTACACTGACATCTCTATGCTGTTTGTCCTAGAGAAGGCTTGGAGGAAGGATCTTAGCAAACCTTGGTACATAAATACCACAGAGGTTGGACAAGGTGGGGTCTCCATCCTTGTATATATTCAAAAGCTGTCTGGACATGGTGCTGGGCATCAGATCTAGGTGGTCCTGCTTGAGCAGTGGGTTGGACCAGTTGACCTCAAGAGGTCCCCTCCAACCTCAATGTTCTGTGACTCTGAAAAGAAGATCTGACCAAAACCTAAAACACTGACATAAACACATTAATAAAACACATTAACTAGCTACAGACTAAGGGAGGGGAAATGGAGAGGAGAAACAAGAGTAAGAAAATTCACACACAGGACAGCAGTGGCAAAGCTTTCGTGGAAGGAACTGGGTTTCCAGTCATACTTTAGCACTGGACCCCTCTGAAGACCAAGTACTGACACTTTTCAGTCACAAAAACAACACTGACATCTTCTTTATACTAATTCAGACAAACAACGTTTAAACTTGGCAGTCCCATTTGTATAAGAAAATCCATCTATTCATTAAAAGCTGATTAAGGTGCTCTAAGAATATTGGATTGCCCCATCTGCAAACCTTTCTTCCCATTCTTTGAAGAAGTAATGTAGGGAAGTGTTATGTCGCCTTACGTTTCTGTGAGGCCATAAGCCAGGTCCAGCATGTCCATCTCTTCATCAGTAATTGCATCTAGTTTCTCAAATATGTGGTCTTCAAATATTAAATGACAAGTTGAACAGGCTAGCGTTCCTTCACAAGCACCTAAAGAAAAATAAATCCAGATAATAGAAAACCCAGTTTCAAATTGCAGCTGAATTTCAGAAGAAGCCCTACATGTGTTTATTTCATACAAGAAGTCTCAGTTGATTAGCAAAATTAATGTTCTGTATATTCCTATATTCATATACCTACTCTGCATTCAACTATTAATAGCATTTCTACAGTTACTATAGCACTAAGATTTACTTAAATGCTAAGTAATCACTTAAAAAATGCTATGTAATCAGTTAAAATATGCTATGTAATCAGTTAAAATATGCTATCTAATCAGTTAAAATATTTAACTAATTTCCTTCCCACCATTTAAAGAAAGAATAGCTTTCTACCATAAGAATGCAAAACCAGACAATGCTGTCAATCAACACTACTTCATTTATTTCCAATGCTGATCCTTCTTATCTCTCTCTTTCCCAAGGTTTTGAGAAGGTTTTCTCTAGAAGTTCAACAGCAGACACCTGCTACATACACAAGAACAATTCCTTAGAAGTACAGGGAGGAGGGATTTTATACTTATTTCTTCTCACTTAAAGAGAACAGTAAATGAGAACAACAAAGGTGGTCAGGCTGGAAAGAGATGGCCTGCATGGATTGTGAGGTGCTCCAGTAGGAGTCACGGACCTAACAAGCTGCTGGGACAGAGCAGCACAAGCACCAACTCCACCTACCTGCTATGGCAATTAGGTCACCACAGCACAGTACAAGTTTGAACTGCAACAAATTTGTCTCTGTCACTGTACTGGTCTGTGTCTTGGGCTGGCACCAAGTTGCAAAAGAAATATGCAACTTCAGGAAGAGTGGGACAGCTAAATACTGTGGGGATTACAAACCTCAGACTCTGATTTGAATTGATAGAAGAGAATCAGATAACACAGCCAATTTTCACTTGTTTACTTATTTCTAGGGAGAGCAGGACAAAATCTACTGTGACCACATCACCTTTGTAATCATGGAAATAAGAGAAGCAAGGCTGTATGTATAACCACTGCTATGAAAAGAAATAGTGGAATTCATCATCAGACCTTGAGAACCACACAGAAAGCATCATGCTGCTACAGAACCAAAAGCATGTATTCAAGGTGAGCATGACACTGTAATACAACATTTGATTTTTAAATTATATCATGTCTTCAAATACATGAAAAAGCAGAGCTTAATTAAAATGCCAAACAAAATTTGTCCTATCAGCAGCTTAAGGATCATTTATGTTGGGAAGTGAGGGAAGGGGTGAGGGGGGAAGGAAAGAACACTGACCAGTCTCTTTGAACAGTGGAAGGTCTTTCCACAAACATAAAGCCATAAAACTGGCAATAACAAATTGAGTGCAGCTGAATCTTTCAACAGATCTGTAAGCCTTTATACAAAGATAAATCTATTATTGCTAATGCACATGGGATGCCCCCTAGTGACAGAAGCAAATAAGCAGGATTTACATTTTATTTTTCCCTTATTACTTTGTTCTTAAACACAGAACATACATTTTTGCTGCATTATTTCTCTGCCCTAGTACAATGTTTCATTAGCAAGCAGTTATTGAAATAGGACTAGCTCACATTATAATTAAAGACTGTAACAGTACTCTGAATTTTCAGTTTGACTTCCTTTTATTGACAGCATTGCTTTTTGCCACTTTACCACAATGCTCTAACACAGCTGATATTAACAAGAGAACACTTACTGTAGAATGCAAGCAGACCAGCCATAAACCTAAATGAGTAATAAGTGATACATAAAGCCAGTTGCATTACAGATTTTTGAGACAGTTTTTCTTCCCCAGACATATGCAACTCCAGACATAAAAGATCTCAGATATTAAGTATAAAATTTTAAATCTTACCAAAGATTTTATCACTAGCAGTAAAATTTATTCGCACTTAACTAAAACACACATCAAATTTAAACTGTGCTACAATATTCTGCTGCCTTTTTTTTTCCTACCAATTGCTCCCCATTATGCATTCAGTTCTGAAAATTGTACTGCCACTTTCTGCTTTAGATCTATTAATTTTTCAGCTCATGTTCATATAAATACCTCCCCAAGGTATTTCATTGCAATTACCTAATACCTTTGAGCAATGTGGTCTTGCAGTTTGAGCAACAAGGGCAGGTAGAAGATGCCCATGACAGGGCGGTTTGGAACTGAACAATCTTCAAGGTCCCTTCCAGCCCAAACCATCCTATGAGCCTAACTATGGAAAGTGAAAAATTCTGAAGAAATAGAGAGAAGTTGTAACTTCCTCCTGTTTTGATTTTAAACAGAACTTGTACCAAGTTAGAATTCCACAAGGTCTCCTTTACTCCAATTCTTTAATAAGAATTAAACTCCCGGCTCCTTCCTGCTAACTGACATGGATTTGGCTGTTTCTTTCACTTTGCACTCCTCTGCTACAGATATGGAGGTGCTACAAAAAGCCTGATAATAAATTGAGACAGTCTGGCACTACAGAAGAAACCAGACACTGTTAGAAATGCACCATGCCTGTGTTGCCTCCAGAACAGAACCTCTGAGAACAGGTCTGCAGGTGGCAACTTTCAGACTCCACTTTGACAGCACTCTGGGCACATTCCCCTCTTTAGTACTCAAGCCCAGATCACCCCAAGTATTTTTTAAAACTTGAACCAAAATATTCTATGCACCTGCAGGAGGAAAAAAAGGGGAGAAAACCCAAGTGAAGAACAGCTAGGTTTTATATTTAAATATTCATTTACAGTAGGACTCAGTGATGTTGAGAGTCTTTTGCAATCTAAATTATACTGTAAATATTTATGCATAAAGAGAAAATTTCTAGACACTGAATAAAATACTCAGTGAATCTACTTACCAAAACCATCTATGTCTAGATTATTGTCAACAACAACATCCAGCAGTGAATCCCCAGGTTTTCCCTTGGCTGTCAGTTTGTCACCATCACGGTTTATGAAGTGAACAGTTATTTTATCTTCTGAGCTGAAAAATAAAATTATATAATACAATTAAAGAATGCCAGAATTTTTTAGCACTTTAAAATTGATTGACTACTACTTAAATAATAGTTGATACTACTACTATCAACTCCAAGAAAAGAGAAATCTAAGTTATTGGCTTTTAAAAGCTTTAACATGTACAGGCTTTTACTGTTGTACATTGAACAAAGACCATGAAAAATAAAAAAAAAACAAACAACCTTTGTGTTTGTTTTGTCACTACAAGCCATATGGGATCCAGATGTTTTGCCTTTCACCAAAGACAGTTTATTTCAGGCACAGTATTTGTATTTTTAACAAATAAATGAGCTTATTTTAAATGTTTCTCTCACCACCTTTCTGTGAACTCTTGCTTTGAACTTATGAATTTTCTGTTGTTTTCATAATTATAATTTAAAATAAATTCTAAATTTTCCCATTTCTGTTTAGAGTTTTAGATAGTTTGCTTTATTTATTCCAAAATGTATTTCTTCTCTCTTCCCACAAATGGAAATAGTCCAATAACATTCTGCTGTTTTTAGGCACAGATTCTCTGAGGAGCTCATCTTCTAAATATTAACTCTAGTGATGTGCAAGGTTTTTACACTGGTTTCAAGGAAAGAAGGTTTTGCAATTTTTTGCCTTTTCTTTCCAGACAATTGTTTATTTAATAAAAAATTTAGTCTGCTTAAAAAATGTCTTAAGATGAGAGCTTTTAACATTAAAAAAAAAATTTTTGCATTCCACATTATTTTATTTCACACACAAATTAAAGGAAAGCTTTAAATATACTAATAATAAACAGTACGTTCAATTTTAAACCGATTATTTTCTTTCCTACAGTAAGTGAGCAAAACAAAAACTTGTTGGATAGACAGTGAAGAAATCTACCAAGAGATAACAGATAAAAACAGAACAACTAAAAAGCCATTTCAAAAATTTATGTTTCCATGTGGAATCCACGTTTAAGAACCACATGTTTCATATAACCCATACTCTTCTCAACTGTGGGCCTTGAATGATTTATGTCATAAGCTAAGTCAAAAACCAAGTCACTCCTGGAAAACTCTAACCTGTATATCTGAATGTTAAAGAAAAAATTTCAAAGTGGCCATGCTGAAAAATCAGTGAACAAATTATTTTTGTAACTGGCTGTAAAAGAATGTGTTTTTAGCAATCAGAGTCCTGGCTTGTTATGAAACAACAACAAATGTTTGTTGCTACAGACTTCATGCACTTCCCACAACTCTTAAGTTCCATTGGCATCAGTGTGCTCCGTGATTATTTATTAAGATGTCATGTTCAATTCTTCTCCTATCATCCCTCAGTCCACCCTCTAGAAGGCAGGCACAAGCCACCATTAACTATAAATTCATTCCAAAACTATAATTGATAATGAAAGCTTGACCTTGCTGACCTGCAGAATGCAATTGAGGCACATACTATAAAAAAATTCAGAAATTTTAAAGATATATCTTTACAAAATATGATTTATGTTGCACAGTCACCTGTGATATCCAAGGATCCCCAGCAAACCCTTCTGTGGGGGTTTAAGAAAGCACTCTGCTTTTCATTTTGCTCCTCGGCTATGTTAACACCTCCCACAGCAGAACCAAGGAAACAAGCACCCACTCAGACAAACAAGTACAAAATTCCCCACCTCCTCTGGGAGTTTAGATGGGTTTAGACTGCATCTGGAAAGGTACAGATCCACATTCTGAGGGCCTAAGCTAACGTCTGACAGTGTAATTCTAGACTGCCTCAAAAAGCCCTTCCAGAGCTCAAAGTACACTCTCCTTTGCTGAAATATTGCTATCAACACGACAAAAGCAACGCTAACAGGAGACACAATGTAATATGCACTTGCATTTCTGGGTATGCTCTGCCCAAGGTATAGACAAGGGAAGTACTAAATATTTATTCCAATATCCTAAATAAGCTTTATTATAGGATTAGGCACTCACAAGTACCATGGACCAAACAGTAATATGTCTGGGCATCCATTAGATCCCTGCAACTTTTGTAAATGACAAGTGAACTCCCTCCCAGTTTTCAAATCACACTTGAAACTGGCTTCATCTGTGGTTACACTTGAATCCGATAGAACACCACAGCGCCAGGAGAGGAACAGTCCCGCCCCCGCTCCTTTGTTCCTCGCCTCTCCAGCGCTCACACTGCCCTGCAGTAACCTCCGTTTGGGAATGCACTGGCTGAAAGCCAAGGTCAACAACCCCACAGATGTCAGAACCAGCAGTCAGATCTGACCCTCGCATGAAATTTACACCAGTTTACAATGGCTGTGTTACTGCAACTTTCGGCTGCAGTGACACAATCTGGGTTTCGTGATCAGATTAAATCAATCTCTTCAGAGTATTAAAAATGTGGGTTTGTGTGATCCCTGCTCCAAATCACCCTGCCATCATCCTTACACCAGTATTACCACAGGTCAACTCCTTTTGCTCACGTGGATGAAAATCAATCACAAGAACAAAGAAGCAGCAGTGGGATCCCCTTGTCAATAGGGGCAATGTGGTATCTGCTTCAGCCAGCTGGGACCTGCCCTGTGGCTGGGTGTGCCTCGTGGTGTGGCATGCAGCAAGGGGACAGACAGAAGGACCACCACCGGGTCACTGACTTTTGGTAAAGACTGACACAGACCTGAATCTGTTGACGGGACCTAATCCACCCTGATTTGTAACTGAAACTGAAACTTATTTATCTGTGCAAAGTTAGATACAGCCTTCTTAAGTCTTTCAGTAGATCTGGTTTTTTGCTATAGTCACCTTCTATCACTCTTTACTTAGCCAAAATATTCAAAACATCTCTGGTGCTTTACTTGGCGAAAATACTTTCAGAAGTGTGCGCATGCAATAATCAGACTAGTCAGACATTCAAAACACACACTGAGCCAATCTTCTCAATGACTGGGGGATACCATTAAAAATATAAAAATCTCACCCACATGAAACAATATTTAGGCTTTATAAATTTCAAATAACATGGGGTTGTCCGCTCAGACATAGTTTGCATCACGATAAACAACTATTCAAATACCCACATGCTGTGAACCAGTCACAGGCAATCAACACGAAACATGAGCCAGGCCCATGCAAGCATGAACAGCCTCAGGATTATCAGGAAAAACACAATTTATTTTGTGTATCCACATGAAGCATAAATATCCCAATCCATGCTCAGATAAATGCTTTTCACCAGATGTAAAATACAATTAATTTCTTCACATGGTTGCCACAGTCCTATCAACATCTTCTATCAAGCTTGACACAGATACCCTAAATCAGGCATCCTGCAAAGGCACAGAGGAGCACCAGAGAGCTGTAAATGCTGTTTGCTGCTCCTCTCATGCAAATAACAGTAAATACTGCAAAAATCTCAAGAACTGCTTCTTACCCCTTAAAAGAATTAGCCTTTTGAATGTTCAGCCATTAATTCCAAGTTATGAATCACCTCTTACATTCCTCCAAACAAAACATAACTTTAATCTGGTATTGCACATGGTAAAACCAGCTCTGTTATTCTTAGATCTTTTAATAAACAGCAAATCCAACAGCCCTAATTGCCTGAGGAGTTCCATTAATTAAGCTATTATACAGGCCTCAATCAACAGAAGTTGTAAATCTGAACTAATCTTTAAAGCATGCAAGTATTATGCTGTGCACCAAAAACATTGCACAGATAACTAGACTGGTATAAAAATAATTCTGAAATAACTACTGTCCACCATGAAATTAAAAGGAAGGATAAGGATAAAAAAGGAGCAAGAGAAAGGAGGAAATGTAAATGAAAACATAATGCCTGATGCTCCACTGAAACCCTTGGAAACCTCTGCTCACAGGAACCACCCCAGGTAATGTTTTGTATAGTGATGTCTTCATCTTCTAGACACAAATATAGCTAAATTCACACATACAAACAATGATGTATGTTTTTTACTGAAATAACACTCGTGGATTATAAAAAGGTCAGGAACTGGGACTCAAATATGCTGCCCAGAGAAAGTAACTTATGCGTAAATGGAGAAAACAATAATTTACAAAAACTTCCCTTTTCCCCCAACTCACTCAGTCAGGTTATGACACTGAGTATATAAACAACATTGTTTATATACTTGTTTGCATAAGCTTTTTTGCTGGCGTGCTTGCAAAATGAATGTAAACAAATGCCATTCTGTATTCAGCCTGTTTGTGAAAGACTTGAGGGGATTACAGGTCTTACATTACTTTAGGTAAGGAAATTCCTTCCCCTTACAGGCTTCTTTTTTCAATTATTTTAATACCTTTTAAAAAAACTTGTCAACATGTCACATCTTTAATTTTTGTAATTAAAAACTGCAAATTAGGGACCACAAAATCAACTGATCACCAGTAGGATCCCGCAGAGAGGAGATCTGACTAGCAACTTACTCATCTCATATGGCAGTCCTAGGCTAGAAAAGTTAAGTCTCTCTCTCTCCACATTAAAAGTATCTTCTGCAACCAAGTCAAAGATCACCTGCAAAAGAGTTCAAAAGCAAACTACTGAGACAGCTTTGATGTCGAGGGTGCTTAATCTCAATCTTCTGGAAACAGGCCAGGCTACACCCCTGATGCTGGGCTGCTGATTGTGAGTCCTGTTCCAAGTCTAGGAAACTTCTCTAGCAACCAAGTACATCAGGTTTTAAAACTTCTGCTTTTTAAATACTGAAAGCTAGCTGTAGACCTGACTGATCTTTGAATATACAAACAACAAGCCCGAGGGCAGTGCATAAACAATCTGTAACTACCTGTAATAAGCATCAAAACTACAGCTGTGGACTGTGTAATATTACATGCCCACAGATGTAAGGCATTCTGAAATACCTACTCATACATACTGGTGGGGAGAGGAGGAACTTTGCACATTTAGATCGGACCACAAAATCAATTACACTGGAAAAGACCTCTGAGATCATCAAGGCCGAGCTATTACCAGATATGATCATGTCACCTAAATCATGGCACTAAGTGTCACACACCATCCTTCCACGAAGAAGGATGCAAAAAGGCTCTTCAGCACAGAAAAACTATACCAAAGGCAGAAGACACTCTAAGTATTAGGATTGCTCTGATATGTGCTGTACTTCTACCACAAGCCCAGCCACACTTTCACAGGAAAAAAAACAAAAACCCTAACAAAACCAAACAACAGAAAAAAGAAAAACGAGCGCAACTTCAGTAAGGTCATAACCTCTCAGAAAACCAGTGTAAGCACCAGGCACGCTGGTTTAGCGTTCCATAACGCTTCAAGCCATGCCAGCGTGGTTCCAGGTCACACCGACCCCGAGCCTCACCCGCGCCGGAGCCAACCCGCAGCGCGGGCAGAGCCCTGCGGGGCACAGCTCGGTGGAGGGCCCCGGGAGCGCTTCGGTGCCACCGCCAAGCACCCGGAGAGGGGCGGAGGGGCCAGGACGGTCAGGGGCACGGCGGGAAGGTCACCCCACGCCGGCCCGTGCCACAGGCAGCCGCTGGCCCCGGCTGCCCGCAGCGCCGAGACCCGGCCCAGCTCCTCCGGGCAGCCGCGCCGGGGAGCCCGCCTGGCACTTCACGGCCGTGACCCCCTTACCTGAGCACCGCCCGGGCAGAAAGGCTGAACGGCCGCGCTACCCTCCCGGAGGCGGCAGCGCCGCTGCAGCCCGGCCGAGGCCCGGCTGCCGGCGAGGTGGAGGAGAAGAGCCAGCGGCGGGAGGAAGCGGCGGCGGCCCGGAAGAACAGCGCCGGCCCCGGGGCGGCCATGGCGGCGGGACGGGAGCGCTGAGCTCGGCGGCGGCGGGGCGGGGGCAAAGTCCCGCCGCTTACGCCTGCAGCGCGCGCGGCGGCGATTCTCGCAGCCGTTTACGCAGCACGCGGCCCGCCCCCGCTCCGGCGTGACCGCGGGGTTACGCAAAGTGCGCGGCAGCGCGCGGAGGGGCGGGGCCGGCGCGAGGTCCCACCCCCCGGTGCCCTCAGGTGCCCTCGTGCCGCCCCTCGCAGTCCCTCATCGCCCCCGCCTCAGGTCCTGGCGGCGGCTCTCCCCTTCCCTGGAGCCCAACGTGTGCTGACCCTCTGCCCCGCTGGGTCCACGAGGGATTTCTTGTCACAGCAAGAACTGGGCGCTGATACGCGCTGGAGTCACCCAAAGGGTCATCGCTACTTCCCAAATGCTCCTTTGGGAGGCCCGGCCCGTGAGGGAGTGGGCCCCAGCTCCTGGCTGGGCAAGTGGTCGATGCTACTTGGAACTGCCCTGAAACAGCTTATAATAATGTGGAACTCCCGGGGAAATGGAGCTGGCAGCTGAGGACAGCCGGCTGCCTCTGCTGTCCAGGCAGGACCATGGAGAAATTCCCAGTTCCTCATTATGTTTCTTATGACAGAGGATCCAACTTCTAAAACACAGACATCAGCAAATGTCCACTTGCAGCAGTGCTGGTGTCAGAGGGTCTAGCAGGGGGTGAACATTCATGGTTCATGGCTCAAGTGCCAATATGTTCCACAGGAAATTTTGAAACTTCCTGAGCAATCACAAACTGCACGTGCAGGCATAACTTGTCTCTGATCTTTGATCAGATGGTTTTGTAGATACCCTTCATTCTACCACACCCTGACTGGAGAGTTCTGAGTGAATAAGGAAGAAATACAACAATTACTTTGAAATAGTTCTTTCAAATGGGAATGAAAATGAATGGGGAAAAGGAGGAGGGAACGATACCTCAAACACTTGAGGTTGCAAAGATTATTCTTGATGCCTTATAATTTTGTTGCATCAGAATAAGATTGAAGAGGGAGATAATATACTGTATAACTTGAACTTCTGTATTTTCTTTAAGGAGAATAGTAGGCTCTGGTGGAAATGTCCTGCTGGAATTTTCGAGAGCCTCCAAACTGTCTGTGCATAAACCAAGTGACCATTCTGATATCATTCTCATTGGGTTTCACTCTTTTGTACCACAAGAGAATGTGGTATAATGTAGTTTATTTCAATGCTGTCATTACAGCATGGGGTTATAAAAGCATAATCTTTAGGCAGTATACAGCTAAAAACATGCAGCTCCAGCTGAACATTTAATATTGTAAAGCCAAAAAAGCACATCACATAATCTAGCTTGACTTCAACCAGACAGCTGCTAATTGTAAATTAATGGTTAATGCAGGAAATAAACCTTAAAGGGACCCTCTGTACATTCTAATGTAAACCTTTGCCTGTCACATTCAACTCAAGCAACTAAATAAAGAAGTATTTATCTATTTCTTAAATTTTTCTTTCTCATATTAATTGCACTGAAAAATAGTCCCAAAATTTCATTCCTTACAAGTGGAAAAAGCCTAATTAGTTATCAATTTTCAAATAATTTATTCATTTAGTTCTGAGTATAGAAATATTTATGTCAATTTTCCCCAGACAGGGCTGCTCACTAATTAAACCACTTTCTGTTCTTTGTGACATTCACCCCATCATTTGTTTACCTCCTCCAGCCCTTTCTTTTAGCCACTGTTGTTACTAGTCTCCTTCCGTAATTCAGGAAACTCTCACTGTTCTCCTGGTTATCCCACTGAGCCATTTGTGCATATGTTAGTTTGAGTTCCCCATGGGTTAAACATGGGTGACTGTCGCAGACATCTTTTCATTAAAAATCCTTTCTTAGGATTTTTCTTCGTGAGAAGCTGAGAGGCTTCAGGAACAAAATGTAAACAATGGTTATCTGCTGCTGTGGAATGCAACAGGTGCATCTGTGATTGGCCCATCTTGGATGTTTATAATTAATGGCCAATCACAGCCCAGTTAGCTTGGACTCTCTGTCTGAGACACAAACCTTTATTATTCATTCCTTTCTCTTCTTAGCTTTGCTAGCCTTCTGAGATGAAACTTTTCCTTCTATTCTTTTTAGTATAGTTATAATGTAATATATATGTCATAAAACAATAAATCAAGCCTTCTGAACATGGAGTCAACATTCTTGTCTCTTCCCTCACCTGAAAACCTCTGTGAACACTGTCACAGGTGACTAGTTAGGACATTCACTTCAGGTCTCATAGGGTGTCCCTAGTATATAATGAGTCTGAGTGTCCCTAATAGTATGACCCTGATGTATCCTAGGAATGTGTTTGATCTTTTTTTTTCCCATGTACAAATTAAATTAGTAGCCTCAAATCAGTGAGATTCAAATCAGTGTGATTAATTAATAATCCAGATGTCCTTTCCTGCTTCTCATTGATGAAGCCATCATTAACAGCAAGAGTCCTTGGCTTGCCCAAACTGAACAGAGTGAGGTCTTTGAACTTTGCTTCGGTGTACTTTCATGTGGGGTTTTCACTCATGCTCCATTTTAACAAAAAGGCCAATTCCATGAACCTGCTTCCCCTGTGCTGGGTATGTTCCACAGCTCTGTTCTAGCCCTCTGACTGCCGTGGCCCCGAGCATGTTACCCCTTTGCAGAAGTTTAGTTGGCAGAGTCCAAGGTCAGTTTCTTCACTGATAAGAGCAGCTGTGAAAAAAGCCAGCAGCAGGGCCTGCTGTCCCTCCAGAGCCACTTTTAAGCTGTGGCTTTGTGCCAGCCCTCACCTGTGCCACAGGGCAGCTGTGCAGCAGCTCTGTTCGCACCAGCTCGCACCTCCACGGGTCTGGCCCCCATCCAGACTTGCTGACTTGGCATCCTGTCTTGGCCTCGCACCTGCCTTGCTACTGCAGCCCTGCTGGGTGACCATATGGGCTGTGTCTGACCCTGACCACTGTCTCTTAACCTAATCTTGGCCCTGGATTGCTGCTCTCCATCCTGGCTCCTTGTTGATGAAGTGACTGCTTTCACCTGCCTTGGTATTGTCCGTAGTTGCTGGCACACCTTCTATTGCAAAGCAGCCAAATCTTGCTGCTTCCTGACATCCACCACCCCTAAACATAGAGCCCCCCCCCCCCAATTTTCTCATAATTTCTATATAATTTTGCCCACAATATAATAATTGCCCACAATTTTGGGTGGGCAAGCTTGAAGAAAATGATGGAGCAATTTAGGTCAGGACTTTTCAATGAAATAAGAGTAGCAGAGTGAAATAAAAGAGGAAAATTAAAAACCATGTGTACCTATTGTCTCTCTGAATCTCAGTTGTGTTCAAGTCTCTTTTCCTTGTCTCTGTGGGGTATTCATTCTAATGGCAAATACTTTGCAAGAGGCACTTCATCATTTCTTGTAATTTTTTTTTTTGGCATAAGTTCTTGCACATTGGGGAACTTTTTTTATTTGTAATTATATCCTCCAAGTCTTCACCATTTTTAAGATTGTATTTATAGGAGGCCAACAAACCACTAGATGGCAAACAGTTTCAGCAAGAGAATTAATGCATGGGTATTGATACAACCTTCTGTCCTCAGCCTCATTATTCCTTTTCTTGTCCAGCTTTGTGAGTTGGACCTGGGAAATCTGGGTTGATGCTGACATAGTCCTTCTTCTCCCTGCCTGTCCCTCTCTTTTGCTGTTGTAAGATTCACGAGTCAGGTGTGGGGTGGATTCATGCAGGTGATTTTTGCAGAGACTAAAAAGAAAAAAAAAACTGTCCAGGTAGGACTATGGAGAAATTCACAGTTCCTCATTATGTTAGAAAAAGAAGGAAAAAGAAGAAAGCAAGTAGTTTCCAGGCATTTCACTTCCATCAACCAGCCTGGAGATGCACTGAACAAGATGTATCCTGGGAGAAAAGCAGTCCCAGCTTGGGTTGTTTTATGCTGCTAAGCAAAGGTGCCACATATTCTGGTTTTTTGGACATAGAATTTCAAGATTCAGGATGATACAAACATTAAATATGTGTATAATTATCAGCAGATAATTTGCATAAATTACAACAGAGGGTCTCTCTGAGTGCTGTTTTTCTATCTAAAAGAAACATGGCATGAATGCATATTTACAAAATAGAAATCCAACTTTTTTTTTTAGAGATTTTGAAAATAAAAAATAATCCATCAAGTAATCAGACTTCTATATACCATTAGCTTTTCTGGTCGCTATCAAGTCCTCTGTGAACATGTGTTTTAACCAGGATTTGCTTGGACGTAAAATTGTGTCAAATTATTCCTTTCACTTAAAGGAAAACCTTATTATTCCTACACTATTCCACCTACATTATTCCTTTCACTTAAAATATTCAGGGAGATCCAGAGAAAGGAAAGAATCCATCCAGCTGTAAACCCATGGAGTGTCCATCTGTAGCTGAATGAGTGGGACGCAGGCTCTGTTACCCTCAACCCAAGAGCACAGGACTTAAGAGCTGTGAGGTCTGAAGTAACCCATGCTTGAGAAAAGGCAGGAATGTGAAGGAGAGATCATCAACCAATGAAAGATTAATGGACAAGCACAATGCTTACGGGGTGGTTGTTTTTAATTTGAGAATTATTGTGGCTCGTAAGCCTTTCTGTAAAGGGCAGGTGGTCCAAGGATCATGAAAGTGTCTGTAGCTGCCAAGTGATTCTGGAGCTAAAGGGAGATCTGGGAATTTTGGCACTTTGTTGTTGAGGATCTGGTAACTGTAGTGCAGGAGGGTGGGAGCGTGTTCTGTTTGCAATTGCTTTATCTTTGCTGGTTTCTCTATAGCACCTGAAATACAGCTGGAAACAGATAGAAATGTTTGGAGTTTTGTCTTTCAAAGAGGTGGCACTCCAGGAATAAGCCAGAGAGCCTGCTGTTTGTTATCCACTCAGAGGAGAAAGCTGAGGAGATGTGTCTGTCTTATGACAGGAAGGTGAATTACTGCCAAGAAATTCTGCTAAACTG